TAGAGTTTCTTACAAGCGCCTTTACAGTACATGGGGAGAGTTGGGTGCGAAGCTCCCCCCCCCCCCCTCCCCCACCCCTCATCCTGAAATAAGTCTACCGGCGTATTCAACGAAATAGTATTTATATAGAAAATATACTTTTATCGGTGTTCGCCCCCTCCCCAGAAAATTAAGTCCACACACACCCCTAAAAATTTAAAGTCTCCACCCCCCCCCCCCCCCCACACACACACACACACCTCCCTGTCCGGAAAAAGTCTACAAGAAACACTGGTCGCTTTTGTAGATCATAGATAGACCCTACTTCTATAATATAGACCCGTTTCTCACTTTTTGCCGCTAAACCTCAATCATGAAAGACTGTGATTGACGCAAAACGTAATCAGCACACAATATGGACGGACAAAGCCGAATGAGGAGAAGCCGACCAAGATAGGGCCTACGGCAAAATCATATGTAAACACAATGATGAGCCTAAATTTATTTCATAATAATTTTCCACAGTGTATTTAACAAAATACATTATCTTACAGTGTTTTAACTTATTATTGTTATAAACCTTAATGCTTTTGAAGTTTACGAATACACTACCGAAAAAATTACCGAGCAAATTAATAAAAAACCAAAATTTTACAATTAATTATTAACTATTAAACGAAAATATTTCTTAGAATATTTTTGTAACTTTTATTCTGTGACTTTTTCTGTATTTTTTTTCCTGTGACTTTTTTTTCGTTCACTGTGTATTTTACACCAAAGTGGGCCGCTAACGTAGTTTGATTAAAATACAACACATTGACCAAGACTCGTTTAGACAAACAATGCGGTTTGGTGAGGTGGGGTGGAGTTATGATACAGTGGAATCAAACAAAATAAAAAAAACCGCTGTAAGATGATTCTTCAACATATATAAAATGCTTCGCAGCCCCCCTCCCCCCACCTGAAATCTATTTCTACACACTGGATTGGTAAATAATGTAGCAACGACTGAAATGTATCATCTGTGTGTGAATGTGTATGAAGGCGGTGAGAATGGGTGGAATTCGGGGTTGGGTATTTCATATAGTTAATGTGAGGGAAAACGTTACCTATTATTTCCTTTGAAGCCAGTATGATTTCAACAATAAAAAACTCGTTTAGATTGTACATTCTTATAGCAAAGCAACCTGCTTGGTAAAAGAAATTTACAATGCGCTGATTGTGACATGACCTAAAATATAACTATTTTTTGTTTTACATTTCATATTTATATCAATTATGAACTAGAATCGTAAAAAAAAATACTCCACCCCACTTCAACCCCGTCTTATTTCTTCGCCATAGAAGGGCCACCACTTTATTTTTATTTTAAAAAATACACATTGACCTAGCCACTTTTGTAACTACGTTGCGGTCTGCTGTTAGGATTAGGGCAGGGGGGCTGGAGAGGGATGATCAATTCGAATCTAACACAATTCAAACCACTTTTAGTTGATAGTATAACGAATCCTAAATTCACATATTTGAAGGGTTAATAGTATACCCACGAAACGCATTTAGAATTTTGTTTAAATGTCATTTCTATTAGTTTTTAGTGTGTGTGAGTTTGCATTGAGCAATTCATGGAGTGTATGCGAGGACATCTTTACCGATTATTGATTTTAAAGCGTAATACGTGAAATTAGTACATCTGATAGTTTTGGTTTCTGGATACATTTCGTGGCCATTTATTTCAAGAGGATAGTGTGGTCAGTATTACTCTCAGCCGCCTTGTTTTTAGAAACAACCAGCAACATTTTGAAATGTTTTCCACTTCCTTTTGGTAAGTAAAGCTTTAAATACATTTTTTTTAAAATTATAGTAGCATGTGTATTATAGGTGATAGTAAGAATCGGTCCTTTATATTGCTTATAATAACATACTAAATTTTAAATTATAACCCTATGATGTTAACCTTTCAAAGCCAACCCACCCCCATTTTGCACATACTGTGATTGCGATAAACGTCCAAACCATCATCGCTCTCCACCCCACCCCCCCCCCCCCTCTAAGGGGATATGCTCCTTACAAAAATCACCAAATTCCAGGTTTTTCGTCATGATGGGTTTCTTGTACTTTTGGATACTTTGACCATTTAAAAAAAAATAATACACTTAATGAAAAAAAGTGTGTTTAAAATACAATTTTTCTTACCCTATTAATTGCACATTTTGAAAAGAAATGTAGTTCGATATTGTAAAATCCAATAAGAGTTTGGTGGATAATATAGGCACTAATGATACTTTTCTCCATACAATTTATTGAGCACATGGTAATACCTGTTTATACGTCAGAAGTTATTTTCTTTTACAAAGGGGTGTATACATTTTGTCTCATCTATGCGTGGTTAGTTAATGAGATTACAGATTTCCTATATAATTTATTTTTATTATTAAAGGAACAGATGCGTTACTACAATACCACCCGTTCTCTTTCTTGAATCAAACGTTACACTTTTAACCTCGAGCACATAAGACTTTTTTTAATGCGGTGGAGAAGACGGGGGAGTGCAATATCCTCATTGAAACCGAACGAAAAATAATTCACCGAGGTATTGACCTTGAATGACGTTGCGGCATTCGGGTATACTTTTTCCTCTAAAAAAAGGCAGAATAATATTTAAGGTCGCGCTTATTAAGTCACGTTGTAGACTTAATGAGTAAAAGAGGGACGGTTCGATATGTATACCGACCACTCAAACGACGTTTTTTTCTCGCGCAGAAAACGTTAGCGGGCGAGAAGCGGACGACAATGTTAAGAATTTTGAATATCTAGAAATAGATTTTAAAAATATTGTCTAAAATAATCAGTGCCGAGGCCAGGTTATTTAGCGCCCTAGGCAAAACATTTTACAACTCCCATCCCCTCCCCCCCGGAGCGCAAAATTGATATTTCGTCCAGGGTAATGAAATAGCTCGCTGCGCCTTTATATATTAACATGTCTATAGTTTATATAACAGAGTTATTAAATATTACCATTTAATAATGCCTTCATTTTTGCACCCCCCCCCCATGGATAGAGCCCTATCCATATCTATATATCTTATCAATATTCTCTATGAACTCACAATGACCCGTCTATAAAAACGGGATTATTATTCCGCTGACAAGAAAAAGTGAACGGCGGTCATAGGATGTTAAGATTTTTTAATATATATATATATATATATATATATATATATATATATATATATATATATATATATATATATATATATATATATATATATATATATATATATATATATATATATATATATATATATTATTACAAATTGCTATGTTCAGATTTTTTATCTTGGTATTATTCAATGCAGTTCAATTATTCAATTAGTCTTACACTGAACTCTGTTACACAATAACATAAGCTGTTGCAGTGTAAGTTTCAATCGATTTCAATCATATCGCACACAGTGGTATACTTCAGACCGTTAATAAGAGGAATGGTGGGGAGGGGAAGGGCGAGTATTATTAGGCTAGATTTTAGCAAACAAAAGCACACGCGAGTGTGGCGTAGTCCGGTTTTTTGAGGTTGGGAGAGCACTGAATACTTGAAAGGGGGCCATATTATTTTACTCTGGTAAATTTATAGCCATATATATATATATATATATATATATATATATATATATATATATATATATATATATATATATATATATATATATATATATATATATATATATATATATGTATATATATATATATATATATATATATATGAAAAATCAAAAACTCGATTTTTTAAAAAGAACAATACACAACATTCGTGATATATCAGCTTCTTTAGATTATAATTGTTTTAAAAAAACATGAAACAAAATTTGTTTTTGCTAATTGAGTCTCGCTAATTACCTGTGATTCCGAAGGTATGTCTCGCATTTTCTTCTCGCAGATTACCACCTCGCCATTTCGCTTTCCGCGTCTCGCAATTTCCCATCACCCCTTCTAATTATGTGGTTTCTTAGAATTTATTTATTAAATATATTAAACCTTTTAATGTATTAGACATACGGAAATAATCTAATACAGTTAAGTTTATAATAAGTACACACTACTACGTGACTTTCCAGTACCCCCACGCATACTCATTGCATTACGTGCACAAATCACTCCTACCCACACCATTACCTACAACTTAAGTACACACATTCTTCTCCCTGTTACACCAAACACGCCCAGTCACATAGAAAACAATTCAGGTCAATGTAGCAAAGACAAATGCGCAATCGGAAAAAAGCGCAAACAAAAAACATACCAATACACTTTAATTTTGTCATATTTCGTGAAAATATATATATATATATATATATATATATATATATATATATATATATATATATATATATATATATATATATATATAATATTCTCTTCATGGGGACCATGCGAGACACCACGTAAATGCACGTCGTTACTTCCCAGCTCTCTAGGCATATCGCTACCACCCTCAACCCCTACCTGTCTGGTGAGCTATGGTTCACGACGAATGTTTACAATAGTAGAGCCGGGTCGATTTAGTGACTGCTATTAGGGGCAGAAAATTTAGTATTTAAAGGATTTGAAACTATGGAGAGGTAACAATTTCTGCTTGATATTTTCATTGTCGTCTGTAAACTGGACGACTGCTTTGACGGGCCGTTGGGGGGGGGGGTGTAGTGTCGAGTTAACAAATTGTGAATTACTGAAAAGTAAAAAATAAAAGAATTAAATAGCGGCGTATGCTACGCTGCGGGTCGGCTCGTATGTTTAATTATGCTACAATGTAGGCTACATGTGGTAATTCTTACTAATGTCTATAAATGCTCAATTTAAGGAAACAAAAATGCCCTTGTGCACTTTTTTGTGCGCAGTTTTGTTTTCCGTTGCGCTTACTTCCGTTCACAGAATGGGTTAGCTAATGTTTAAACAGACTCACTCATACACAATCTAATACAGGGGACATAACCCAAATGTTTTCCCCCCAGCTTCACCCAGGGCGGGCCATGCACACGGATGACGTTGCTAGAAAAAGTTCTGCTGCTGCTGTTGCTGGCAGTGGTTGCCGCCCTTATTGCTGTTGTCATCGTCTTAATCGTGGAGAAAAATAAATCCCCGAGCAGCGCCCAGGTGTCTCCTGCAATAGCGGCGTCAGGTGATTATTTCTGTCCTCTCATAACGTATGTCGTGCTAATATTGTTTCACAACTAGGGGCATTGGCGGTGGGTCAGGTGTCATAGTGTGTATGGGCATAGTCCCTATTTTGTAGAACAAAATTTTGTCACATTGGTAGATGGTGGGTTATATAAATCGTATAAAAATTAATTGGTTGTTATCACTAGAAATGACATTTAATGTTTTTTTCACGTATAGAGGAAGGAGAAAAAAATATCGTATTTTTATAAAACATTATAAAACGTATAACACTCCATTTACTTAAACGTGTGACAACCTAGCGTGGGTGTGAAACCTAACGTAGATAATGTTGTCAAACAGACTTAGTCATACACAATGTAATACAGGGGACACAATCCAAATGGTGTTGTTTTCCCAGCAATAATTTCTGACATTATAACCCATTGCTTGTAATCCACAGATGTCTGCATGTCTCAAGAATGTGTCAAGACATGTAAGTGCCAATTACATTTTAATTTCCCTGTCAAAAACATCTGCACTGCACATTTGTTATTTAAAAACTTATATATATATAAATATATATATATATATATATATATATATATATATATATGTATGTGTGTGTGTGTGTGTGTGTGTTTGTGTGTGTATATAGGCTATTTAAAACACTTTTAAATCAAACGAGCGAAATTTTCATTTTACAATACACTAGAAATTAACTGTATAAGTTATACAGACATAGATAGCTTGCTCGTATTCAAAGAATTGGAAGTATTGTAATCATGCAAAAAAAACTCGAAATCGAGATTTTCATAAATCTCGCTGTTTTACGCTTCCCTGAGTCGAAAAAACACAGTTTTACAATTGTGTCTGTATGTCTGTGTGTGTATGTGGATGTTTGTGTCTTTCTGTCTGTCAACACAATAACTTGCGTACCGTTACAGCTAGGTTGATGAAATATCATATATAAATATTATATCAAATTTGTAGTTCTGTATCAATTTTTCTGCAATTTCCGATAAACGACAGTGGAACTTATTCTACTTTTAGTTTTTTAAAAGCCTATAACTTGAGCACTGCTTTAGATAGATAAACGAAATTTCATGTATAATTAAAATATTTAATTCTATGCCTTCTTTATGATTTTAGGCAATTTCCGTTACTGAATAGTTTAATCGCTTTGGCTGCTAGCGCAAAGGTCTCAAGTTCGAACCTGTGACTGTAGGAAGTCCCTGAGTCCGCCCAGCTCTGATCGGTACCTGACCTATGTTGGGGAAAATAAAGACTGACCACACCATCCCTTTAAATGCCGAGGTCAAGAAACATATGAACTCTACTTCAATGGATCTCTAGGTCTAAAAAGCAATGTTTATTGTCATAGCTTGACATAAGAGTTGTATGCAAACCAAAACTCTAACCCTAACCCCGCTTGACATGAAAGTTTTATGTAAACCAAAACACTAACTATAACCCCGCTTGACATGAAAGTTGTACGTAAATCAAAACTCTAACCATAACTCCGGTTCACACAGAAGTTTTATGCAAACCAAAACTCTAACCATAACCCCGCTTGACATAAAAGTTGTATGTAAACCAAAACACTAACCATAACCCCGCTTGACATAAAAGTTGTATGTAAACCAAACTAATTGTCCTCTACCAGCTGCTAGTGTGGCCAGCAAAATGGACTTAAAAACTGACCCGTGTGATAACTTCTATCAGTTCTCCTGTGGTCAGTGGCTCAAGGAAAACGTCATCCCAGATGACCAGTCCAGATTCAACATGTTTCGAGTCTTGAAAGATAAAGTGAACATAATTTTAAAAGGTATGAACGTCAAGAGATTCACCCATTAAACGCTGGAAAATGGTCGCTAGTGGTCAGTTTATATCACGTCTAACCCATATTTATGTATTATATATATTGGCTGTGATAAACTGCTGTTATAGAGTGAACGTTTTGCTTTGGTTCGTCAATTTTTTCCCCTTAGAACAGGATTCGGCAACCTTTTGAGACGGAAGAGCCAAAAGTCACAATTTACCAAATTTCCCAGTTTTTAAAGAACCACTAACATTTTATTCCAATATAATATCATATTTGATTAGGATTATATATATATATATATATATATATATATATATATATATATATATATATATATATATATATATATATATATATATATATATATATATCTTTAAATATCAAATAATTTTTATCCATTTAAAAGCATACACACGTTTCGCAGAAAAATATTAAAGTATTTTATCTAGCTCTGCTAGATTAATAAAATCAGTAATCAAATTATATAATTTTAATTATTCAATACTATTTACAATAGTTTGGCCTTGCGTGCCTTTTGAAAGTTTGTTTAAACCTGGCTCATATCCTGTTGTTTTCAGTTTCAAACACGCCTATAGATTTTTATCTGTTATTTGGCTTCTTACTTATCTTTTATATTATATGCATGCAAGAAAACGCTTACTCGCATGAATATGTTGTCCCGAAGATCTTCTGCACCCCAAATGACTTCTTCACCTCACTGTAGCATCCTGGAAGACTATTCCATGGGTCAAATATGAGTCCAGTTGTGCAGCGAAACGTGCATGGTTTTCTGCACCTCCAAATGTCCTAACTTGCTCTTGAGATCAGTAAACTTACCACTCCACATATGTTTGGATTTCAAATCGAGCAATTTGATTTGTGGAGAACCAGCATCAATTCAACATAGCCCAAAGTTAATCACATTTGTTTTTGTGTTGAGAAAATCTACTATGAAGGTTAGAGTTCTTGCATTTGTTTTGAATTGCTCAAATCTCTCAGTTAATCCATTCTTCATTTTGTTTATAGTAATGCTGAAGTGATTTATGCTAATAGTAGCATTGGTTTTATCACATTTGTTCTACATTTTTTTCGAAATAAAGTATATTACCGCTTTCCGTGTCTTCAACAAAACGAAGTAATTTTTTTTGTCGAAACAATCTTCTTCAAGCAAGGCATAGGCTGGGTTTTAATTTCCTTTCAGTTTTACATTTAGCTCTTTTTTTTATTTGTGATATCCAATATGAAGTTGAATGTTTCAATTTGGGATTGACAATTTAATAGGAAGTGCATTGAAATAGGGAGTAACTAAATATTCTAATAGAATAGCGAGTATTTATTTTTTATGCTTATTATTTTATTGTTCATTACCGATTGTTGCAGAACATTATTTGATGAATTGTGTAAATAAAATAATTATTAATATTTGTGCACATAGCTGAAGAGCCGCATCTCGACATCAAAAGAGCCGCATGCGGCTCGCGAGCCGCAGGTTGCCGACCCCTGCCTTAGAATATCTTTGTATATTCAGTCATTGAATCTCTTTGTAGATCCAGACATTTTGACACTCGGTATTACCCAGTATCATTGGTAGACGACACATTTGTATTTCGTGTAGAATATATTCTTATTTTTTTTATCGCTAGATACGATTCGAATGGCGATAATTGTAAAGAAAAGATTATTGTCCATCGTGACTTACTAATCAGATTTGATAGATCATGACTTTGCTTATTGAACATCTTCTAATGGAGTCTAAATTTAACAGCTGACATCTTGAAGTTTGCCTGCAGCTGCCCATGCTATAGAGCACGGGTTCCCAACCTGGGGGTCGCGACCCCCCTGGGGGTCGCGAAGGTCTTTCTGGGGGGTCGCCAACTGGTATACTAAACCTTAGTAATTTGAAACAAAACATAAATATTTAGAAGATTTTTTAAAATTCGGCTTCATTAACATCACTGGAAATGTAATAGAGAAGAAACAAAGCGCACTGTACAAAGTTGTTCTCAGTCACGAATCTATGAAATCTTCAAAACTAAAACTCCATTTGAGACGAGTCATTCGGAACACACCAAAAACATATGGAGTTCTTTCGTCGCCAGAGACTTGATCGAACTGGAAGTTTTCACCAACATTAGTGCAAGCATCAAATGAAGTCGCGATAGAAAATGCCAAGCAAAAAAAAACAATAAGGGAAAATCTCACCAAACGCTGCATGTACTTAAATGTTAAATAACACATTTTTATCGAAATTAAGCTTTCACCATTGTTTGCTTTTCAAGTTGATAAATCAACAGACGTGAGTTCGTGTTTGCAGTTGCTGGTCTATGTCTATATTCATGCGGATGATAGCAAAGAAGAGTTGCTCTTTATTGAAGATAGCATGGTGAAAATAAATACCATTTTTGAAACTGGATGATTAAAATGGCTTAGAACGGCTATGTGGGTTTGTACGGATGGTGCGCCATCTATGTTTAGCTCAAAATCGGGCTTTCAGAAAGCAGAAAAGATTTAGCTCCCTAACCACTGCCCTAACCAATCGACACCAATAGTCCATTGCTAGTATAAGTCGTAAATTATATAAAATCTGGAGCCTTCAAAGAACTGAGCAAAAACATTGATATAGATCACGAGGTTCTGCTCTTCTACACTGCAGTACGCTGGCTGTCAAACGAAATCTGAAATCAAATTGTTCTTGGAAGTGCAAAGGAAACAAGACTTTTTGGTATACTTAAAACGACATAGAGTGATTGGAGAGAGTTTCATACCTAGCAGATGTGTTCGAACATCAAGATAAGCTTAACCTGAAGCTTTAGGGAAAATGAACGAATATTATAACTTTCCATGATAATCTCGGGGCATTTTTATCAAAGCTGTAAAATCGGTAAAGAAAATAAATCTTGGAAATATTGTAAATTTGAGAAACTCTGCGGTGTGGTAGATGAATCTGATTGTGGGATAATTAAAATTTTGAAAGAAGCGATTTCTGGGCATCTTGAATCTCTTGAAAACGAACTGCATCGCTATTTCTCTGAGCTGAAAAAAGAAGAATCTACATTGACGCATTACCCATTCTCTTCTTCCCTTGATGTTGCCAGCATTCCCGATGAATTACAAGATTATTATTATCTGATTTACAGAATGATTCCGCGTAAAATGAAAAACTGTATACACAATTTCGGTGTAGTATTCACCATTCATACCCAAACGTAAAATTGATTGACTTTTCGAGAATATATTTTCAACACTATTCTTTGATTAAAAACAAAATTAAGATAATTATAATGACATAGGTTGGCGTTAACAAAAATGGTTGTTAATTAAAAACTTAACCACGAAGGTTTAGTGAATAGTATGCAATTTTACTCATGCTTTTAAAATAGTTATCAAGAGTAGTTCATATTGAAAGTCTAATAGAAAATCTTATTTTAGTGCTTATTAATTTTCATACTAATTTCGGCTTTTTAATTCTATGGGGGTCGCGGGTCACTTAATTTTTATAAAAGGGGGTCGCCACTCGTAAAAGGTTGGGAACCACTGCTATAGAGCAATTCAATCGAGCCTATCCGTGTATACAAAAAAAACAGTTTAAAACATCTAACTAAGATGTTATTTCTCTCTAGATTTGTTGGAGCAACCAGATAAGCAAGACATTCCAAGCATTAAGAAAGCCAAGGATTTGTATGCATCATGCATGAACATGGGTAACTACTTCCTTAAACAATTAGTGTGTGTGTGCGCGCGCGCTCGTACGCGCTTAAATGTATATAAATTAACACTCCATTTTTGCAAATGCAGCAGTAATAAAATTATAAAATATAAAGGCCTCTCCCTCTGACGATAAAAATAAAAAGCTGTTTTCTAGCCCAGATTTTTATCTACTTCAGACCAAATCAACAAGCTGGGAGATGGCCCAATCAAGCAATATCTGGCCGACACTTACGGCGGTTGGCCGTTGACAAACAGCTCTTGGGACGAGGGTAGTTTTGATTTGGCCACGACGATTGCTAACCTTCATCGAAACGAGCTCTACATAATAATTACGCTGTACGTCTCCTCAGACAACATGAACTCTTCCAGATACATCATGCAGGTAATTTAACTGTCAGAGTTCATAATTAAAGTTGTATTGTTAACAGGTGACATCATCGAATTGTGTTAACAAATGCATAAAACGAACGCACAAATCATTGTCATGTTAAAATTATTATACCATCTCAAAAAAAGATTACCTCTACTGTATCTTCAATTTGCAATCATCAGATCTGAAGACAATCTTTTAAAAAAAATTTCTATAACTAAATCATCTCTTTGAATATGTATAACTAGGTCTCTCAACTATGGAGGAATTGGCTATTTTATAGGCCATGAAATCTCACATGCCTATGATGACAGTGGTAACTTTTGTATTGATTCCTGATTTTCTTCTTACTTTTGCCACACTCTTAATGTGGTAACCTTTGTATTGATTGCTGTTTTCTTCTTACTTTTGCCACAATGTGGTAACCTTTGTATTGATTGCTGTTTTCTTCTTACTTTTGCCACAATGTGGTAACTTTTGTATTGATTCCTGGTTTTCTTCTTACTTTTGCCACACTCTTAACTAATACATCAATATTACATGTTTGTGCTAAACCTCTTCATTTCTGTTAGCATCAATTAGAACAAATAGTTCTGCTTGTATACTATTGATTGACGTGACTATTTGCTTCACAATGGGGGGATTGGGGGGGGGCGGGTTGCAGACGCACCGGGTGACTCGATCCTATAGGGTGACACCAAAACAAAATCTAGTTACCTATAATGTTAATACATCACACATAGGCTTATTTGCTGCTCAAGAGGGTGAAACTATCGGGGGTAGGGTGACCCTTATCAGTTTAATACATCATACATAGGCTTATTTGTTGGTGGAGGGGGGTGACACCATATCTTATACAAATATGTGTTTATTTTGGACTTTATAAGTACTATAGTTAATTTAGAATTTAAAAGGAAGGGGGGGGGACAACTACACTAAGGGGGGCGGCGTGGCCTAGCAGTAGAGCGCTAGACTGCTTATCAGAAAGTCTCGATCTGGAATCCGGGTTCAAGTTAGTAGAACTTTTCTGAGTCTACCCAGCTCTGATGGGTACTTAACTCATGCTAGAGACTAAAGCCAGCGTTTAGAGTAAAGCCAGCTGGGTATAGTGCTCACCACACTATCTCTTCAAATGCCGCGGTCACAGAAACAGGTGAACTCTACTTCACTTGCCCCATCTGGTTTGAAAAGGAAAATTTGAATTGGACTAAATTCGTTGACACAGTGGTGCTCCTACTGAGGATAACAAGTGGCAGAACTACAAAAAACAGGGCCACCCAGCATATTTTTGGCCCCATATATATATATATATATATATATATATATATATATATATATATATATATATATATATATATATATATATATATATATATATATATATATATATTGTTTTTTTTTTTTACAAAACTACTATCAAGGTGCCAGTGGCGGAATTATAAAAAGCTTAGTTCTTGGGGCGTTAGTTTGTACACACTACCACAAACACGCCCCGGTTTACGCTGATGGTGAAAGAAACACCGCTCGGCGATGGCCTTGGTGTCAGAGGCGTCACCGGGCTCTCGGGACACAGCCCCCACCCCCCCCCCCCCCCCCCCGGCAGAGGCCCCTAATGCAGCGAGACCGGTGATTCAAGTAGTAAACCTATCCCCCTGTGCAGGACACCCAATTAACGGACCCCAGGTGCTTAGATAGCCACTGGGGATCTCGGGGCATTCAACTACACATATTAAACAAATGTTAGGACTATGAGTACTCAAAAACTTCCCAAATTTTCATTGCGGTAGCATGAAGGGTGTAGTAATTCATAAAAGACAGACACACGATGTTCATATGTGCAGCTGTATGTGCCCATCTCACGCGGAGGAAAACCTTCTGATTTAAGGGACATCCATAAATGACGTCATGCTTTTTTGACGACTCACAAAAGGCTAGACCTTTATTCCTAAATGGCGTCATTTATTAATATTAATTGATTATAAATTTCAATAAATTCATTTTCTAGTAAGATTTTAAAAAATGACTTGCTTCCTTGTTTTATGAATACGATTCATCAAACTAATTAATAACATGCTAGTAAAGTAATATCCGCTGACTAGTGTCAGATACAATGTGAGAAAGCTAGCAAGTTCGCAAGCGATTCATTTATCTATTCGCTACTTTTAATGCTAAGAGCAGAGAGGAGTAGGGGGTCTGAGAAAGGAACTTAAAAGGGAAAACAAAGCGCCGATGTGCTTCTGTCCATCAGTAACAAAGCTGGGATGGTCTCAACTACTTTTCATAAAGCTTATAGTAAAACACTCAAAGGAGAGAATTCAAATTATACACGTTTACTATCGTATATTTTGTAAAAACAAATAGAAGAAAAATGTACATAAAACCGAAATTATTGTAATTATATTCTTTATACATATTTGTAGAATACAGGATAGTACAGAATAGTAGTTCTACCAATACAACAAACGAACATTTTACATTATAAAATCACAATGGATTGTGGGCCCCTAATCAACGCTTTAAAGAAGCAAAAGTCGTCTTAATATATAGCCGCCTCTCGCGCAATGGACTTTGATTTATTTTCAAAAGAATTTTGCCGACAACAGCGTGTGTTTGGTTGTAGGAGAAAGAGGACTCCGGATGGTGTCAATAAAATAAAGATAATCCAACCGCAGCTACAGTATTCTTTTATAAAACAGCCATCAAGTCAAAAATGCATGAACATTATTTTTTTATAGATTATGCTCGGCTGTGGGCCACTAAACGGCCTACCACCCCCCCCCCCCCGCATTGCGGGGTCGGGGCACTGTAGTTCCGCCCCTGAGGATAAGATGTATGTTTTAAAACTCTCTAATACATCTGTAGATAGTGGACCTTATTTGTTTTTCAGATAGACCAGCCGTCGTCATTCGGCCTGCCAGGACAGAAGTATTACCTGGTGGAGAGAAACGACACAATGCTAAAAGCTTATGAAGAATTTATTTACGCTGTGGGTAACCTCATGGGTTTCGCTAATGCTAGCATTGCAGCTCAGGATATCAAAGATATTGTCGACTTTGAGATTCAGCTGGCAAATGTACGTTGCTTGCTTAATATTTTTATAAACAAGTATAGACTACCTAGATACTACTAACACTTTTATGTTCTATAACGTTTGAAGTTTCAAAGCCTAAATTTTGACTTTATTGTCTATTAATTATTTTGGGTAAATATTTTCCTGCAGATATCAGTCCCTGATGAACAACGAAGAGACAGCAAAACATTATACAACCCCATGACGCTGAGAGAAATTATTGGGAACTACAGTCAAGTAAGTGGTACAGGCTCTTTCAGCCATTTCTCCGGGAAAAGTAAAGGTATCCCCCACACCCCTCCTGGACAAAACAGAAAAAAATGTATGTAGAAAATATATATACTTTTATCAAATAATCCCCTGGAAAAACAATGTCTGAAAGAAACCCTCGAACGTGGCTGGTATCAACATTAAACTAGTCTGTCTTAAAACTGCATCAACTGCACAAACTTTTAGTTGAAACAGGGGTGAAAACTGTGTTATTATTTGTTGTTCCATGTAACATTGGGTGGATGTCAGGCACACAAGAGAACTCTTACCTCTTGCTAACCTGAAGATTGTGACACCTGCTCCTAGTTAAACCTATCTGTTGGCTCGTGAAATATGGGGCAGATTGTTAGTTACAAGATGGATGCTTCTGCTTGAATTTTACTGCATAAACATTGCGTGCACTTTGAAATTTGATTGTTTTATGGATGCAACATATAAAACAGGAAGTCCAAGATTAAACGCTATATACAAGATACAGATGCAACACATCACAAAACACATAAAATAAAACACATCAGATAAAACACATCACAAAACACATCAGAACAAACACACAAAACATACAAGAAAAAACACAGAATAAAACCCACACATAAGACAAAACACATTAAATAAGACACATCTGATAATACACATCATACGATTTATTTTATTATGAGAGATAAATGAAAGATAATAAAAAGCCCACGTTTATATTCATATTTTTCTCAGCAATTCAATTGGACAAGTTTTTTCAATCAAATCTTCTCAAGTCCCGAGATCGGCCTTACAGATGTGACTGGTGATGAAATTTTGATCAACTTGTCTCCCTTGTACTATGAGCGTTTATCAAAGGTGCTAGAAGCCACACCAAAAAGGTTGAAATTTAAAATATTCAAAATATTCATCTCTATGTAAGCGGGTGAATGGAGGATTTATTTTGTATTATATTTTATGGCGTGCGAATATGTGCGTGAATGGCCAACTGGTCAGCGGCTACGGGGTTTCCTCTTCTGGCCGAAGCGAGTATATAAACCGACTGAGCGCTCGGATCTTTCTTTCTTTTGACCTGAGTCGAGAATGTAGGTCTGGTCAGTTTCTCTGTGGGCTCTTGGCGCACTTCGTGCGTGAAGTAAGGTTGCTTTTTCAACTTGGCTGGGTGTTTTGTAGATATAGTTTGGTAAGTATTGTTTTGTTTGTTGTTTTGTTTATATGACATGTGTTTTTGGTGCGAATATTAGATGGCGTTTCGATTGCCGTAGGGGATAGATAGGAAGGTTGTCTGTGTGTTCAGATACTAGACTATCCGAGGCATTGAAGGTACATAATGTTCCGTCGAACGTTGTGTGTTGTGTTTCTAGTTTTTTTTTTTATTTTATTCACAATCTAGATAGATCTATATCTTTTCTTAAAAGATTGGTTCCATTTTTGTAAACTAAATTTTATTAAATTTCTAAAGTATTTTAGTGTTTTTATCTAGTCTACGGTTAGGATTTAACCACCGTGGCTTTTACCACGGTTGCACTGACCGGACAGTTAATTAGATAAGCCTAGGGACATAGTATAGTTATACCCCTAGCAGGGCTTACATCTAGATACATGTATTAGAGATGTTTGAAATTTAAAATAACCACCAAGTCTAAGGACAATAGTTAACTATAAAACTCAACTTTTTAAGGACGATAGCTAACTTCCTGATGTGGCGTCTGATCAAGCAACACTTTGATGCTATGGGAGACAAATACCTGGCAGTGCAGGCTGTGTATGATAAGGCAAGGACACTGACATTATGACCCTACACAATAAAATAAGCTGCTAGACATCAGGGTAGTTTTAAGATAGAGCCAAAAATATGAAGAAAGTGTTTAGGATCTACATTTAGGCATTTTAGTTATTTCTTTATCTTAAACATATGTAAACCTATTTGTGGTGGAAGGTTTTAAAATCCTTACAAAAAATTAACTAAATATTTCATTTAAAATCCTAAAACGTGAGTTCAAAATCACATTATGGACTTTTTATGGTTATCCTGTTATTTATCTAGGATTATTTTTCTGATTCCCAAAGTGTTTCATCATATAAATCATAAAATCGGAATTAAAAATACTTAAAGACTGACACTGAAATCTACCTGTGTATATTATGTAAATCACATTGCTGTTAATTTGTTTTAAATCTCTAATCGTTTATTTTAAAAATTATCAGAAATATACTTAATGTTTTTAATGAATTAAATTATATTTTAGTTTTAAAAGAAAACAACTGATGCCCTCTATGATTTAAAAAAAAGCAGATTCTAACTCACAGCAGTGCAGGTTTACAGTGCACATTTAAAAGTGGACTGAAATAATTATTATGACCACCAACCTCTTAATGTTATTTTGATTATATACAATATGATTTTAATAACATTTATTTTAACAAACAACAGGTCGTTTATGGCACTACTGCTAGAAAACCAAGGTACAAGATTTGTGGTTCCTACACAACCTCAGTTCTCTCCCTTCCGGTTGCACAACTTTATATAAAAGACAACTTTGATGTTCAAGCAAAGAATATTGTAAGGACTTTAAAAATTTGAAAGAAAAATTATTTTAAAGTTAGTTTCTGCTTATAAGTATTGAACTATGTAAAGTTGTAGGTATGGGAACAGATCTTTGAAGGACTTTTGGTATAAATATAGTTCAATAAGCCATGTAAATCTGAATCATAATGTAAACTGTTTGACTGTAAAATATTACTTCCCCTGTGCAGGCATCTGATATGATAACACGACTCCAAGCTTCCTTTAATGAACTTCTGGCTTATGTGGACTGGATGGATGAAGACACTAAATTGGTAGCCAAGGAAAAGGTAACTGTTTGAATTTTTTGAACTGTTTTGAAGTGATATTTAATTTTTTGACCTATGTTTTAAATAGTTTTTACACCATTAAATTAAATACGTAAACCTTCTACATAGTTTAGGTTTAAGCTACTTAAAATAAATAATGATAAGACAAATTTTTTTTAGCTTAATTAATAGTTGTTTTTACACCATTTAAATTTTAAAGCTACTTACAATCTGATTAACAAAAGTTAAATTTTTGTTTTCTTAGAATGCGTTTATATTACCAAAGATTGGTTATCCTAAGGAGGTCCTCAATAATACTTACCTAGAAGAAGCATATAAAAATGTAAGCATTTAAGTTTATTATATTAATTATTTTGTTAATTTTGAAAAAGTTTTCTTAATGTATGGCAATTATGTTTTTGCTTATTTCTATGTAAAATAATCATGGAAATCTCTTTGTCATAAATTATCATATCAATCTCGCTACAAAATACCTAGTTTTGTGTAAGTTTCATAAAATTCATAAATGTGTTCTATTATCAAACATCTCTGTTCACAGCTAACATATGATGTTAAACATTTTTTCAATAATATCCTGACTAACAAAAGAGAACATTTCTTTGAATGTTTTCGACAGCTGAGGAAGAAGGTTGATAAAGAAAAGTAAATATTTTGTATTTATAAATAAAAAAATGTTTTGTCACACAGGTCCTACATTTTAGATAACTATAACATAATATTAACTTGTCTAATTTTTGTGTTGCCTGTTTGGTTCTGTTTAAATCCTGGCCATTTTTGCCTTAAATAAATGTTTTTAGTTACTTGTAGTCCTAAAACCATACATTTTTAACAAACAGATGGGCCAAAGCACCATCAACTATAAATGCCTACTACAGCTCATTAAAAAACCAGATCAGTAAGTTGCTAACTTTTATGTTTTCAAGCAGTATTCCCTTTATTTAATTGTATTTAGAAGCTTCTTTAATAAAAGTTTCTTGTGTGTGTAAATGTGAACAAAATTCTTTGAATTATTCTTCTTGCAGTGTTTCCTGCAGGCATCCTTCAACCACCATTTTTTAGCAAGAATTTTCCAATGTAAGTTACATGCACTCAACTTGTTTGTATTTGTAACAACAATTTAATTTAATCAACTGCATCAACAAAGTTTGAGAATTAGGATGTAAAAGACAGTTAACCTTCCCTCTAGTCTCAAAATTTAATTCTACTCTTAGTCATCCAAGTTGACTTAATTAGTAAACCAAACAACACCACTTAACTTACTTGTGCATTTAAAGGATAAACAACATTTATTATGTTTAGGGTAGTTTTAGATATGACTCATGATTAATGATCTAATTTTTTGTACTACTCTAATGAGCTGTTGAAACATAGTCCTCATTCAAGTTGATTAAATATATTTAAATTCATTAAATAATCTTTCTGAAACTGACATAAGTTGCACAATTTTAAAATATTATTAAGCAAGAAACATAAACAGCAAAAAATACCTAATTACATAATATGGTTATTGACTGTGACAATTAAAATACTCTTTGAGTTTCTAAAAATGTAATAGGTCTACAAACGAACATTTTTTATTGTTCTTCTGATGTCTTTAAATTTTATTTGCTGTTAATTTAAAACTGTACTGCTTTCAATGATTTTCAATTTTGTAATTGTGGAAATTAATTTAGATATAAGGGACATTATATCTAAAATATTTTTGGATATAAGGAACGTAATATTTCATTCTGTTTCAAGATATTTAGAAGAGGTAAGGAGAAATGGTTAGTTTCATTTGAAAAAAATGTAACACAAGTTAGAGATGGAGTGATTGTTCTTGAAGATGCTGATGGCAAAAAGGTCTTGCCATGGTTGGTATGCTGTGGTGCAGGGGTAGTGTATTTAGCTATATGATTGGTTAGTGGAGGGGGTGGTTTAATGTTTCTTCTCTAGATATCATGGTGTGTAGTGTAACTTTCATCAGGGGAGTTTTAAAGGTTTGTTAGCTGAGATAGTTATACCGTTTGCCACTATTCCAGGTCAATGAACTATGGAGGTATAGGGATGGTTATTGGTCATGAAATAACTCATGGCTTTGACGACAGAGGTGAGAGGTCAAAAAATCCTTTAATAAAATGGGAATCCCCAGCTGCATGCACTAATTATTAGCTGGCCTAGGAGGTGGTGTGTATAACATGTATCAACATTATACCCTGCTTCATTTTCACTCAATGTTTTACATTTTGCACATAAATTTGTAATGTGTATGTAATCACATAGTATTATCCTTCTTACCTTGAAACAGAGCCAGGGTTTAGCTGAGCATTGGGTTTTAATTTACTGTAGGGTTAAGATCTAGGGAATAGTTTAGATTTAGGGTAGGGTTTAGATTTAGGGTAGGGTTTAGATTTAGGGTATTATATTTTAGACCGTATCAATACTGTTGGTTTCATGTTTCTATTTGTTTTGGCCCCTTCTCTTTCTCATGCTAAGCAGTATGGTACATGGTACTCATCAACTGTAATAAAAATGACATTGGTTTTCATTTTCTTTCACGGGCAATAGTTTTTCATTACACAGTTTTTGTGAGCTGCTGATATTCTGTGATATAAATAAAAAAATTATAAGGTCATTATTTATTAATTTTAGCCAGTTTAGTTTTTACTTATCTTCTTGTATATAACAATTTAAATGTACTATGTGTAGCTAATACCCCAATTAAATTCCACTTTCGATTTCATTTTGATTGAGCTGCTTGTTTGATAACACATTACTTACTAACAAACATTTGCTTATCTAAGTGAACTACATGTCTGTGATTGTAGTTTGGTATTTATTATTTTATTTTAAAAGTAGCATAACATTAAATTGTATTAAACTTGATAAATGAAAAGCAACACATTTTAACTGACTCCTATAAAACTGTTTGCTAAAATATATCTTGTACCATTATTCTTATGTTCAAATCAATTTAAATTCATAACAAAATGTTTTTATGCATTTTATTGTATTTTAAAATGTTTCTAAGACAATAGAAACACTGCAATTTTTGCCATTTATTAAATAGGATGTGACTAAGGAAAAGGTTGTCTTTTATTAAAAATAAAATCTGTTTAATATTAAAAATCTACTTGAAATTTTGTTAAACTTTGCGCTATTTTGGTTGTGATGGGTAATTGTATTCAGGAGTAAGAAAATTAACTCTGTCTGATCATTGTCGTGTCATAATTATTATACCATCTCAAAAACAGATTAACTCTACTGTATCTTCAATTTGCAATCATCAGATCTGAAGACAATCTTTTAAAAAAAAATTCTATAACTAAATCATCTCTTTGAATATGTATAACTAGTTCTCTCAACTATGGAGGAATTGGCTATTTTATAGGCCATGAAATCTCACATGCCTATGATGACAGTGGTAACTTTTGTATTGATTCCTGGTTTTCTTCTTACTTTTGCCACACTCTTAATGTGGTAACCTTTGTATTGATTGCTGGTTTTCTTCTTACTTTTGCCACACTCTTAATGTGGTAACCTTTGTATTGATTGCTGGATTTCTTCTTACTTTTGCCACACTCTAAATGTGGCTATCTTTGTATTGATTGCTGTTTTTCTTCTTACTTTTGCCACACTCTTAACTAATACATCAAACTTATATTTCCTGCATGTTTGTGCTAGACCTCTTCATTTCTGTTAGCATCAGTTAGAACAAATAGTTCTGCTTGTATACTATTTTTTATTTCTCTATGTTAAGCTACCTTTTTTTAGTATGCTAACCTTGTGATAACTTAAATCTCTTTATTTGTGTTATGTAGTTAACAAAAAATAGATTAACAAATATTACATTTACAATATAAAAATGATAAAATTTAATCAAAGTAATTAGATTACCATACCGTCTTAAATCCATTATATAACTATGCATCATAATTGTATGTAAACAAAGATTGTTTTAAAAAATAAATTATTTAATGTCTTATTTTTTTTCAAAATCTGTATTTATAATGAAATTATATATCGAGATCTATGTATAAAGTTTTTGATTAATAGAAATATTAAAAAATGTAGAAAATATCCTCTTTTCTTTAAAATGCTAACTGTTTTTGCTACAGCCTCTAAATTATTATCTATCTGTCAACAACTACCAACTCTGTTATTCAGAACTTCTGTGTGAAAATTCTTATCGTTCTGCATCTGTTTTAATTATTAAGTGGAAGCATACTTGGTTAAAATGTATAATTTCTCAGCCATCAGAGAAGTCAGCTTTAACAGTTACAATAGGCTTAAAAACTCTCAGTGATAGTATCAATTTAAAAGAAATTATTTCTTATGATATATTTATAAATATAACTATTAGGTCTACTGTTATTAAAATAATGAGTCTGCTTATAATATGTATTATTAATAGACCTAATTTGTCTATTTTAATTAATATTAATATGTTAAAGTTGTTCTATACCCATAAAGCTGATTGATAGAATTTTTTTAAATAAAAAATATTTTAACATTAAGTTTACATATACAAATGAATATTAATTTTTGTTCTATATTATTTACAGGACGGCAATATGATAAAAATGGAAATTTAGTAGACTGGTGGTCCTCATCTGCTATAGATAAGTTCAAGGGCAAAGTTAGCTGCATAATAGAACAATATGGCAACTTTACTGAACAGCTGACAAAAGAAAAAGTAAGTTTCAAAAATATTTTTTTCTTTCATAAACTCTAGCTTGAATTTTGACATGTAAAAACAATTATTTCATTTTTGCATTTTAAAATTAGCCTACTTATATAAACTTTAATGTATTCATTAAAAAACATTTCAAATGACATCTACATTTTTAATAAAATATTTTTTTTTGTTAAAAATGTAGATGGTCTTTAAAATGTTTTTAAAAAATGTAGTTTGGTAGCTTAATGCCTGTTGATCTAAAATTTAATTATTGCATTCATTTACAAATGGGTAGTTTACGTTGAATATAAATTTACAATCTGCCATCAAAGAATATGCAATATTGAAGTATTTTAATTATATTTTTGTTAAAAGATATTTTAATAACTGCCTTTAACATGTGTTAAAATAAAACAGCAGGTTTGTCAAAAAATGTTAAAATACAACAAGATTAGTTCATGAATTAAAATCTTTTAGACATAAAAGATAAAACAAGACCCTACTACCTAAACAACATCTTAGACGATTTGAACATTTATGAACTTTTTTAACTGATGTACTCAAACTGTTGCTATTATTTTTCACAGCTAAATGGAATCAATACACAAGCAGAAAACATAGCAGATAATGGTGGCTTAAAGCAGTCATTTAGGGTAAGATGGCAGCTTAACTTCCGAAATTAACAGATGTACTTTCTTCTAACAAATACTCACAACGTCTTTAATGTGGTTCAAATGTTTGCTATGTAACCATTTTAACAGTATGTTTCTTTTCCAAATAAAGGCATACAGAAACTGGGTTGACAAACAAGGGAAAGAGGAGCAAAGGTTGCCTGGTTTGAATTTCACCCATAATCAGCTGTTCTTTATCAATTTTGCTCAAGTAAGTTTTAAAATATAATAAAGTTTGTGATAGTTAATAAAAGTAATGATAAAGGTTTTTATTTCAATTTCAAAGTAGTACATATGTCCTAATCCTAAGTTCTCATTACTTTTCTTTATTTTAACGTAAGTTTAAACTCTGTTTATCAAAGTTTATTTTTAGCAATAGCAATATGATTTTTTTTAAATGAACATTATGAGATGATAACTTTTGCAGTTGTGGTGCAATTTAATGACAAAAGAAAATGCACTTAAAACAATTAAAGTAGGAGTTCACAGTCCAGGTGAATTCAGGTCAGTGGCAAAAAAAATTCTTTTGATCCTACATAATATTTTCATTAAAGATAAGGGGTCATCCATAAATGACGTCACGCTTTTTTTGACGATTTTTACCTCCCCCCTCCCCTCCGTCACACGTCGTCACAAAAAGCCAGACCCCCCCCCCCTAAAATGACGTCACACCTCAACCTACAACCCCCCTCAAAATTGCAGTTGAATTTTTTTAAAACATCGATATTTTTCCAAAATCTTGTCTAAACTATTACAATTTATTACAACAGTTATCTAAAACGCGAAATAACGTCTAAATTTCGTTTTCTAACATTCCTTTTTTGTAATGCAAAAATGTGACGTCGCAACATCTGAGCCCCCCCCCCTCCCCCTCATCACACATCGTCACAAAATTACGGACCCCCCCCCCTCCCCCCTACGAGTGTGACGTCATTTATGGATGACCCCTAACGTCTACTGACCTTTATGTAAATTATGTTTAATGTTAAATAAAATTTAATGAAAAAAGATTTAAAATGTAATAAGTTCTTTACCTTTCACAGAGTTATTGGAAGTGTCCAAAATTCCAAGGAATTTTCTGAAGCATTCAACTGCCCCCTTGGTTCCAACATGAACCCACAGAAGAAATGCTCAGTATGGTAACCTGTTGATAACCCTGATATGTTCTGTTATAAAAGTGATAACACAGCCTGGTGACGATAAACTCAACAGTCTTCAATTTTGTCTTAACTCAACTTTAAATTTGATTACAACTCTGATGATGAAACTTCCATAAATCAGACCGAATGTTTACAATATTTGTTCTTTGCCAACTTTAATAAAAACTCTATTGTAAAAACAGATAGCACTGCTATTCAGATCAGATTAGTTTTCTAATACTTTTCAACTTTGCTATAGTTATAAAGAATAAAATGTGCTAAACAATCCACATCCATCTCTGTTTGTAAAACTTCAGTCACTCTATTGAAATCATCCAGACAGCATTTTCACATGTAGAAATGAGTAGGTATTGTGGATCTGAGAAATCCTGTAATCATTTTCATCTAACATTTTTATGTTATTTTTCTATTTTATTTTATTAAATTATTACACATAACAGAATAGAATTAAATTATCATTTGTATCAAGACATAAAAACTGTCAAGAATATATATCTTTATATTTTGCTTTATTTTTAATTGATTTATATATAAGTTGCAAATTTAAGTATTATTGTTTTTTTTTCTAAATTAACACTTTTTATTTAAATATTTTATAAAATATACTAGAAAAAAACATTAATATTGTAACTTTTCTGTTGTTGTTTTTTTATTGCTGCTAAATAAAGCACATTTTTTTGTCATTGTATAAAATCCAAAGCGAAATATTTTTTTTGTTTGTAGAGGAAACGCTTGAGGAAATATTAGTTACTATTTTAAAAAACAATTATATTATGTATTCTGCTTTAATAATGTTGCTTGTGAAAACCATATACGCTGTTATAAAAAATATTCTAATTCCTAGATTGATTTTAAGTAGTATTCATTTGATGTTATAATTTATTTTTGTATCAAAATATTTTTTAAAATTTTGGCAGCTTTTATGAAATTGTATGTAGATGATGAGTTTATTGAGTGTTTTGCAAATAATATTTGTTGTAATGCTTGAGCTATTTTACATTTGTAAAAATTATATTATTATTAAATATCTGCAGGTCCAAGTTGGTTCTCAAAACATCGTGACTCGAAAACGAAAAATACAAGTAAGTTTCGCCATTTTTCAATTGCAATGGATGAGTCCCTGGACAGCTGTTCCACCTCTTAACTTCTTGTGTTCATTAGAGGTGTGGATGAAGACATGAACATAACACAAGAACTGGCATTTATGACACTGTTACCGGAGAGTGATATTCAATGTTAAAAAAACGCTGATTATAACTTGGACTGGACTAACCTTTTACCTGACTGTTGATGAAGAATAGTACATGAGTGGCATAAAGAAAGGCTTGGTTGGACAAGCGAATGAGAAAAAAACATTCTACAACCAATGTTCCTGCACTGTGTTATTTACCAGCAAGCTTTGTGTGCAAATATGTGAACACTAGCAGTGGGGAAGATGATGAATTCAACAAGGCCATGTAGGTTCAACAACCATAGACAGTTCAGAGGCAATCATGTCGAAATAAGCAAACACAAAATCGCAAGATTTACCCTATAACACAGCAGTAGGATGGCTAAGTTGTGATAAAGTTCTGAGCAGAGTATTCAAGTTAAGAAAGGAAATAGGTTACTTCCTGGAAAGTAAAGGCTAACCACAGCCATTAATTCTTATGAAGAGTGGGTATAGAAATTAGCCTCTGCTGCAGACATTACTAGTCATTTTAATTTTCTGAATCTAAAACTACAAGAGATGGAAATTTAGTTTTTGATCTATACACCCACTTCAAGGCCTTCAGATCCAAACTTGTCGTGTTTTTGGACACGTACAAGCCAACAACTTGACGCATTTCCAGCAGTGCAAGGTCTTTACGGCTGAAGCAACACTGAGTTCTCCACGTCATTTTCATGCGAGATCAACAAAGACCTCCAGCTGCAATTTAAGTAGCGGTTTTCTGCCTTGGATTCAAAGGTAGAAGAAATAAGACTGCTGCAAAACACATTTGAAGCAAATGTGGCCAGTTGCCCAGATGAACTGCAGCTACAGGTCATTGAATTGCATGCAAATGACCTTCTTAGAGACAAATTCAAAGAAGGACGGGTGGGTTTTAAAAAAAAGAGTTTGCCCATGGAAGACTTTCCTAATATTAAAACATTTGCATCCAGGTACCTTTCAAATTTTGGAACAACATACCAGTGTGAACAAGCATTTTCAATGAAATTTGTGAAGAACAATTTTAGAGCGAATTTGGAGTGTGTTGTCGCCCCCCCCCCCCCCCCCGACAATGTTTCTTTCAGAACTTTTTCTCGGGGGGGGGGGGGGTACTTGAAATGTGTATATATTTATATATACATTATATTTCGTTGGGGGGAAGGGGGCGTTCGCCACCCCAAAGAGATGCCTGGAAGAAACTGGTCCCCGAATTGATATTTGATAGTTAATGCGGCCCTCGGGCTGAAAAGTTTGGAGACCCCTACTCTAGATGATGAATGTTTTGTTGCTATTTTCAAAGGAAACGCTTGGTTAAGGTTAAATGTGTGTAGTTATAACTCCACTGAAATTTCAAGGCATAAGTGGATCTATCCTTTCGGTTTTTAGGGGTCGAGCAAAATATTTATAAATAGGCCTACATATGCTGGGGAGCTAAGGATTTATGTGCCTCCCAAGGCCCAAATTTAGCTATACAAATATGCATTAAATAACACTACGAACAATACATTTTTTTTTTAAATTAAACATAAGGCCGATATGAAAATTAAAATTGGCAAAGAATTTTTAACTTTTGATAGTTTTACTCTTTTCCCAAACTTTTCATCCACTTTGTTGGAGGGGGGGGGGGGTAATCTCAAAATTCGCATCGAAGATCTGCCAGTTTGAAAGAACTGAACAATTTGAAAAGTACATTAGTTTGATAAAGAGAGAGGGGGTTCATCTCTATATCCGCATCAAATATCTGCTTGTTTGAAAGAACGTTTGTTTGACAGAGTGAGAAGGGGGTTCATCTCTATACCCGCATGTGTTTGACAGAATATGCTGCACTTAAAGGTTTCAACACCAGCAGACACTTAGTTTTTCTTAACATCTCGCTTCACCTGGAAAACTGTCGTCATCGAGTTTACGCCCCAGCCTCGATCGGAACACTGAGAGCGAGTGACCACCACCTGTGTATTTTTTAAGTCGTCGACATCACACCGTCAAATGAAACATCTGACTATGCCTATTTTAAGTCATCGACATCACACCGTCAAATAAAACACCTGACTATGCCTATTTTAAGTCATCGACATCACACCGTCAAATAAAACATCTGACTATGCCTATTTTAAGTCATCGACATCACACCGTCAAATAAAACATCTGACTATGCCTATTTTAAGTCATCGACATCACACCGTCAAATAAAACATCTGACTATGCCTATTTTAAGTCATCGACATCACACCGTCAAATAAAACATCTGACTATGCCTATTTTAAGTCATCGACATCACACCGTCAAATAAAACATCTGACTATGCCTATTTTAAGTCGTCGACATCACACCGTCAAATAAAACATCTGACTATGCCTATTTTAAGTCGTCGACATCACACCGTCAAATAATAAATTTGACTATGTCTATTTTAATTTGTCAACATCACATCGTCAAATAAAACATCTGACTATGCCTATTTTAAATCGTCGACAGCACCCAATGAGAGTTCAAGAATTCAAATATGGCACATGAAAACAGTCGAAAACTGTAGGTTTTTGATTATGATATAATCAACAAAATGGTCAAAATTCTAAGTAGGCTCCATGCTATTTTGGGTGTTTCTTGTGCATTCAGACAAATGTACTGCCTGCAGTGTGTGGGGGTAAAACAAATGTAAACATAAAGACAAATGTAACTGTCCCGGTAAAACCAGTGTAAACATACAGACACATGTAACTTCTGGGGTAAAACAAATGAAAACATAGACAAAAGTAACTTCTGGGGTAAAACAAGTGTAAACAAAAAGACAAAAGTAACTTCTTGGGTAAAACAAATGTAAACATAAAGACAAAAGTAACTTCTGGGGTAAAACAAGTGTAAACAAAAAGACAAAAGTAAATTCTAGGGTAAAACAAGTGTAAACATAAAGACAAATGTAACTTCTAGGGTAAAACAAATTATACTTTACCACCTGGCCGTCTATGGAGCAGATGAAGTAGAGTCAATCTGTTCATGTGACCTAGGCATACGTAGGTACATTGTGGTGAGACTACACCCAGTCGCCTTTTACGTTCCCTGACGTGAGTCAGGTACCCATCAGAGCCGGGTGGTCTCATGACTGCCGGACCTAAATCAAGTACTTAAATGGTCGACAGACTCTACTTCCCCCAATAAGTACATGACTTCATAGAGCTATGTGCAGCCACAATTCACAATTACAGTTCACGGTTATTTTTTAAATGTATTTTAATCGTATAGTTTGTTTTTTCTGAATAAATCGTTTTTGAATAAAACCAAAATAATAATATCGTAATAAATACAATAATCCCATTTCTAAATTGTACAGTATTTATTGAAAAGATCGGCACAACACTGAAGTAATTTTATCAACCACATTAGCAGGTATTCATTTTTTAAGTCGTTTTCTTGGATTGTATAAAATAATCTTAGAAAATACGAATATATATATATATTATAGGTGTGTTTATATGTATATATTTAAATGGATATATTGTATATGTATAAGTATATATTATTTACAATTGTATATATTTGAATTGTGTATATATACATTGTATATAATATATTTATAAAATCTCTGTATCTATTTGAGCTTTCCTAACCACATCATAAATCTCAACAAACAAAAAACACTGTTGATCAAATAGCTGCAGAAGCTAAGGAGAGTGAACTAATTTATAAATGAGATGTGTAGTCAATGGTTAGGTGAAAGCAAACATTTGAGAACCCCTGGCCCATTTAGCACCCCGCAGATCTTCATTCACTAAAGCCCTACATTGTCCTAGTCTTTGCGATACAAAAACACCTTAGCTAAAGGTTGGTGGTAGTTTTGATAGAGTGATTGATCAGCCCATCCGGTGATGCAGCTATTTGAATTTTTCACCTTCAACCGCTTTCAAAGTACATAAAATCCTGTTTGAGAAAAAAAAATTCTTAATTCTTAAAACTCAAAAGGAAAGTAAGTATCATAATTACAAGCTTTTATAAATGCACTAAAAAGAAGAAAATAATACAACTTTAATTAAATATAAAATAGTTTTTAAAAATATGATAAATCTGCGGTTACTTTAAATATAAAAAAAAATTACTTTCTTTAAATATATTAATGCACTATTATTTATATCACTATAAATAAAAGCGTGGGCCGCTTGTTTAAATACTTATTATTATAAGACAATATAGTGTAGCAACACATATTATGATACACAATATTTGAAATGTGTAACATGTTGAACAGACAGACTGACGAGGAAATGAGTTAAATAAAAGCTTGTAAAAATGGTTTTCATCTATAAAAAAAACACTTAATCTACATACACGATGAGAATCAAGGAAGTAGTTTCTAAACACACGAGTTGCGTTTTTGATGTCTTGAAACATTAATATATTTTTTAAATTGTATACGCTAAATTAAAAATAAATAAGCATGGAGGTAACATTAATACTTCTGCAACTCTCCAATCTTTTACTTACGATAAGAAAGACGGCTCCGATTATAGTGGCTTTCATTCGAGCGTCAAGCTCAATGGGAACTGAAATAATATGTTGTCTGTCTTTAATTATATACGACGAGCCGACCCGCGGTGTATCATACGCCGCTATTTAGTTGTTTTTTCTACTTTTCAGTAATTCATAATTTGTGAATTCGACAGTACCAATGCTGCCACTGAGAATATTTGCTTTAGCGATAGAGAGGAAGAGAGGGGACTGCAAGGCGCGCTTGCAGCTTGTTTTCTAACGGCTCCCAGAGGAGAATTATATATATAGATAGTCTGTCTTCAAGGGGGAACATCCATAAATGACGTCACGCCTTTTTAAAATTATGTTTTCCTCACTTACACCTCAGCCTACAACGCCGCCCCCCCCCCCCCCCCCCCTTAAAAATTGCAAGTGAATTTTTCTTAAAACATCGATATTTTTTTTTAAATCTTGTCTGAACTCAGTCAACATAGAGTATTTTAATCAATTCTTATTTACATCTTATTTAAAATCGTTTTCTAAAACGCGAAATAACAGGCTAAAATAATGCAAAAGTGTGACGTAACACATCCAACTGTATTTTTTTCTTCTTCGATCTTCATTTTAATGTTGGACGATATTTCATCCAACACAATTAAGTATTACTTGTCAGCCTGTTATTAGCCATTGACTCTGATTTCAGCCTGCTTCTCTTTTTGGATTTGCTCCAACAGGCTGTCTCCATCCAACAACACACTACAAGGCAGCAGTTGTTTGATGCTGGTACTTACAGGTAACGCCGAAGGTATCTGCATCAGTGAACATTTCTTTAACCATCCCGGACCATTTCTTAGAGATACTGCCAATAATGATGTCAGAACCAAGCTTGTGAATCTGGAGAGAAAAACCGATGTCTAACACATGACATTTGGTAGTGTGTGAAGTGCTTAACACATGACATTTGATAGTGTGTGAAATGTCTAACACATGTCATTTGGTAGTGTGTGAATTGTCTAACAAATGTCATTTGGTAGTGTGTGAAGTGCATAACATATGACATTTGGTAGTGTGTGTGAATTGTCTAACACATGACATTTGGCAGTGTGTGAAATGTCTAACACATATCATTTGGTAGTGTGTGAAGTGCATAACACGTGACATTTGGTATTGTGTGAAGTACATAACACATGACATTTGGTAGTGTGTGAAGTGCCTTACACATGACATTTGGTAGTAAAAACAAAACATATGTTTGGAATTACTGTTTGAAGGTTAACACGCGCTAAACAACTATTTTAGAAGACCCACCGGAAACTCTATTTGTCGGTCACATAGAGTGCATTTACAGCAAGGTCCTTTGATTTTATAACAGGGATTCGAATTATGATCATAGATTAGAAACTGTGGGCTACAGCAGCAAAAATTGTACCTGTGTGTTTCAAATAAAATAATTGTTGTATTATACAACAACAGCAGATGTACCTGTGTGTTTCAAATAAAATCATTGTTGCATTATACAACAACAGCAGATGCACCTGTGTGTTTCAAATAAAATAATTGTTGTAATATACAACAACAGCAGAGGTACCTGTGTGTTTCAAATAAAATAACTGTTGTATTATACAACAATAGCAGATGTGCTTGTGTGTTTCAAATAAAATAATTGTTGTATTATACAACAACAGAACGTGGTAGTTATAAAAATAGAATGTGAAAACTTACTTCCGGTGTACTTTTCCTAAAAGTGTTCCATCTTTTGCAATAACATTAATATTATCTTTACAGCAATTGAATGGTCTATCTATTGTAAACACAACCTGTATGAAATAATGTGTGCACGCAATCAGAGACACTACTGAAAACAATGACGCCAAATTTTGTCATTTTATTTTCGTATACTACTATCTTTTTTAAATCCATTGTTTTTAAATAGTGAGAGAATCAAATTAAATGTGGAGATAGTCAAATAAAATGTAGAGATAGTCAAATACAATAGGAGCGAGTCAAATAAAATGTAGAGATAGTCAAATACAATAGGAGCGAGTCAAATAAAATGTGGAGATAGTCAAATACAATAGGAGCGAGTCAAATAAAATGTGGAGATAGTCAAATACAATAGGAGCGAGTCAAATAAAATGTGGAGATAGTCAAATTAAAACAAGATTTCACCTCATTAAGGTTATTTTGAATGTACATGGTGAAGCCACGATTTTCAGAACAGCACTGCTTTGAGCAGAAGTTCGAGCCTGATGGTAAAGTTTTGTTTGTTACTAGCAAATCATTAACTAACAGAAGTGTTTGTTACTAGCAAATCATTGACTAACAGATTTGTTTGTTACTAGCAAATCATTAACTAACAGATGTGTTTGTTACTAGCAAATCATTAACTAACAGATTTGTTTGCTACTAGCAAATCATTGACTAACATATTTGTTTGTTACTAGCAAATCATTGACTAACAGATTTGTTTGTTACTAGCAAATCATTGAGTAACAGATTTGTTTGTTACTAGCAAATCATTAACTAACAGATTTGTTTGCTACTAGCAAATCATTGACAAACAGATTTGTTTGTTACTAGCAAATCATTGTCTAACAGATTTGTTTGTTACTAGCAAATCATTGACTAACAGATTTGTTTGTTACTAGCAAATCATTAACTAACAGATTTGTTTGCTACTAGCAAATCATTGACTAACAGATTTGTTTGTTACTAGCAAATCATTGGCAAACAGATTTGTTTGTTACTAGCAAATCATTGACTAACAGATTTGTTTGTTACTAGCAAATCATTGGCAAACATATTTGTTTTTTACTAGCAAATCATTGACTAACAGATTTGTTTGTTACTAGCAAATCATTAACTAATAGCTTTATTTGTTACTAGCAAATCATTGACTAACAGATTTGTTTGTTACTAGCAAATCATTAACTAACAGATTTGTTTGCTACTAGCAAATCATTAACTAATAGCTTTATTTGTTACTAGCAAATCATTGACTAACAGATTTGTTTGTTACTAGCAAATCATTAACTAACAGATTTGTTTGCTACTAGCAAATCATTGCCTAACAGATTTGTTTGTTACTAGCAAATCATTGACTAACAGATTTGTTTGTTACTAGCAAATCATTGACTAACAGATTTGTTTGTTACTAGCAAATCATTGACTAACATATTTGTTTTTTACTAGCAAATCATTGACAAACAGATTTGTTTGTTACTAGCAAATCATTGACTAACAGATTTGTTTGTTACTAGCAAATCATTGACTAACAGATTTGTTTGTTACTAGCAAATCATTGGCAAACAGATTTGTTTGTTACTAGCAAATCATTGACTAACAGATTTGTTTGTTACTAGCAAATCATTGGCAAACATATTTGTTTTTTACTAGCAAATCATTGACTAACAGATTTGTTTGTTACTAGCAAATCATTAACTAATAGCTTTGTTTGTTACTAGCAAATCATTGACTAACAGATTTGTTTGTTACTAGCAAATCATTGGCAAACAGATTTGTTTGTTACTAGCAAATCATTGACTAACAGATTTGTTTTTTACTAGCAAATTATTGATTAACAGATTTTTTTTTACTAGCAAATCATTCGCAAACAGATTTGTTTGTTACTAGCAAATCATTCGCAAACAGATTTGTTTGTTACTAGAAAATCATTGGCAAACAGATTTGTTTAAAACTGGAACTACTAGATCTAGTCAAGCAGAGAAACAATGAATATGATAACACAGCTCCTTAGTGATAAGGCTTAGATTTACTTTCAAAGGCATAGTAACATTGCTGGTAGAGACTGTTGAATATGCGGTACTTGTTGCTGGTTTCGATGCCGAGGACAGCTGGGAAAAAGTAAAGATCAATCAGTACCACGTGATTAGAGGTCCGATATGGTTAATGTATGTCTAAGGTGTCAGTGGTGTGTGTCTAAGGTGTCAGTGGTGTGTGTCTAAGGTGTCAGTGGTGTGTGTCTAAGGTGTCAGTGGTGTGTGTTTCCAACTATCAGTGGTGTGTGTCTAAGGTGTCAGTGGTGTGTGTCCAACTATCAGTTGTGTGTGTCCAACTATCAGTGGTGTGTGTCCAACTATCAGTGGTGTGTCTTACTATCAGTGGTGTGTGTCCAACTATCAGTGGTATGTGTCTAAGGTGTCAGTGGTGTGTGTGTGTCCAACTATCAGTGGTGTGTGTCTAAGGTGTCAGTGGTGTGTGTCCAACTATCAGTGGTGTGTGTCTAAGGTGTCAGTGGTGTGTGTGTCCAACTATCAGTGGTGTGTGTCCAACTATCAGTGGTGTGTGTCTATCTATCAGTGGTGTGTGTGTCCAACTATCAGTGGTGTGTGTCTAAGGTGTCAGTGGTGTGTGTCCAACTATCAGTGGTGTGTGTCTAAGGTGTCAGTGGTGTGTGTGTCCAACTATCAGTGGTGTGTGTCCAACTATCAGTGGTGTGTGTCTATCTATCAGTGGTGTGTGTGTCCAACTATCAGTGGTGTGTCTTACTATCAGTGGTGTGTGTCCAACTATCAGTGGTGTGTGTCCAACTATCAGTGGTGTGTGTCTAACTATCAGTGGTGTGTGTCTAAGGTGTCAGTGGTGTGTGTGTCCAGGTATGTGCTGTAGTCCTATCCCATGTTAAAGTCGTGTTCCCATCCAACCACTCCGCGAACTTGCACAACACATTGCACTAAACCTGTTGTCGGTGTTTAGACTTACCTTCTAAAATTTCTGCCTCCTGTTTAATGATGAGTTGGTCAATTTTCGTCAAATACTCAAGTCCTCTCGGACAATTCTCGATAGGACCAATAGGCGGCATCCACACAACTGATGGAAGGACAGGACAAACTAACGTTTGTTGCTAAACTACACTCTCGAGCTGGTTGGGAAACCCTAAAACATTTACTATCATTTCCACTCTTGCAACCTTTTCCAAGCGCTTGTTTATTATCGACAACATCGCAGTCTGATCAAACTTGTCCTAAAGTTACCATTGGGGACAAATCAGACACGTCCTAAAGTCACCATTGGCGACAAATCAGACACGTCCTAAAGTCACCATTGGGGACAAATCAGACACGTCCTAAAGTCACCATTAGGAGACAAAGCAAACGTCCTAAAGTCACTATTGGGGACAAATCAGACACGTCCTAAAGTCACCATTGGGGACAAATCAGACACGTCCTAAAGTCACCATTGGGGACAAATCAGACACGTCCTAAAGTCATCATTAGGAGACAAATCAGACAAGTCCTAAAGTCACCATTAGGAGACAAAGCAAACGTCCTAAAGTCACCATTAGGAGACAAAGCAACCGTCCTAAAGTCACCATTAGGAGACAAAGCAAACGTCCTAAAGTCACCATTGGGGACCAATCGAAACACGGTCACCATTCATCCTCACACTGTGAATGTAATATCTCATCAATATTAAAACTCATTTGTCGTGTGTGTTGAAGAAGACTTTTTTTTTAAATAATTCCCAAAACTTTTTTTAAAATGATTATCTCTAATACATTGAATCGGTATCAGCTTATCAAGGTACTTAACTCAAGCCCCACCCCAACAATAAGAGACAACCCAGTGTACCCTGACAAGTTTACCAAAACATGTTGGAATTTTTACTTTGTTGCATAGGAGAAGCCATGACCTGACCGTACATGGGCTGGGCGGTAACATACGTCTGCTGCATGGGCTGGGTGGCGTACGTCTGCTGCATGGGCTGGGCATAGACCACAGTGGCTGGCTGTGGTGACATGTAGACTGGTGGGGACTGGTAGTATTGTCCAGGCCCCGGGGGTGGGGGCGGGTACTGGTACCCCGGAGATGACGGCTGAGAATAGTATTGGCCCGAGGGGTAGTAGCCAGGCCCGGGAGGTGGGGGCGGGTATGGAGACACCTGTGCGTGTCCAAATCCCGGCTGACCGTATGAGACGTTGGGGGGTGAGGCCGTGCCCATCATAACCACCTGATGGGGCTGCATTTTAACAGCTGGAGAAGGAAAGATATCATACATGTATATATATATATATATATATATATATATATATATATATATATATATATATATATATATATATATATATATATAGATCAAATCGAAAGATCAAAATTTAGAGTCCTTGACCGTCCCTAATGTGCCCTTGGGATAAAAAATTCTACAATCCATCAATACCAACACCCACACGAACAGAAACTAAGATTTAGAAACTAGATCTAGTCTAGTCATAAACATAAAGCTAATGTTAAATGTAATTAGTACGAACCTCACATTAATTTAATCAAAGTAATTGTCAATCATTGAGTGTTTTTTTTTAAGACTTATACTACCTGAATAATTTAACTTAAACGTTTTAAATCTACACCATAGTATAAATGAATATAGAAAACGTATACAACACATTACCTTAAGAACGAAAGCAAAATGCTACATGACAAAACAAACCACTTCCTCCTTCCTGTTTCACCTCGGGACAACCAAATCCGCTTTCGCGTCGTGAAAATCGGTGCGACAGTGCCAGAAAATATGTGCGCCGTTATACAGAACACCCTTTTTCTACTGCTGAACTGGGACGTAGATAACACCCAACGTTAGACCCAGGGGCGTAGCGAGGGGGGGGGGGGGGGGGGGCGGGGGGTGCGGACCGCACCGGGTGACACCATTTAGGGGGGTGACACCAAGGCAAAAAATAGCAAAATATATAGAGAAAAACTCGAGGGGGGGTGCAAATCGAAAGTTTGAGGGGGGGGGGGGTGCAAATCGAAAATTTGAAAGTTTGTCCCTGGGAAGGGTCTCTATGCCTCTGGGGGGGGGGGGAGGGGTGACACCATTAAGTGCCGCACCGGGTGACACCCGACCTCACTACGCCACTGGTTAGACCTAAACTATAGGTCCAATACACGACTAACTATACGACTATACAGTCCTATAGGTCCTATACAGTTAAGGGCACAACATTAAACAAAGTGTAGGGCATCACACTAAGCAAAATGTAGGACACGGCACACAAATGCCCGCATCTAGATTTCATGCTCCAATGGACACCAGCGAGTTGACAAGAATCCTTCCGTAATGTTGTTGACATGGAATAAAAGTGTGCTTTTTTAGATTTAGGACCGTAAAAATAATAAAAAAATAAACCGGGAGTGATCTCCCCTAAACTTTCTCGAATATTCTTATATAACTTGGAATATAGACATGATTTTTAATTACTTAAACTTTTAAAAATAGAATAGAATCTCATAGAAAAAAAGAATTGCGCACCAAGCGAACACACAAAAAATGTGCATAATAGTGCGCAATATTATTAGTACTTTATAAATTTTCATGCGTTTTTTGAGAAATCGGAAATAGCGTAAATTAGTACTTCCGGTTAACGGAAATTACTCAAAATTTGACAGAAGGTAGAAAATTAGATCTTTTACTTAAATGTGAAATTTCATTTATCTATCTGAAATAGTGCTCAAGTTATAGGCTTTTGAAAAATTCAAAGTAGAAAAAGTACCTATTCCGGTTATCGGAAATCGCTCAAAAGTTGATACGGATCTACGATTTTGATAAAATACTTATATATGAAATTTCATCAACCTAGCTGTAACGGTACTCAAGTTATCGTGTTTACACACGGACAGACAGACACACAGACACACACACACACAGACATACGGACAAGATTGCAAAATTATGTTTTTCCGTATCAGTGAGGTGTAAAACGTCGAGATTTGTAAAAATCTCGATTTTTTTTTTGCACGATTACAATACTTTCTCTATACTACGTATATACGAGAAAGTAAAAATTACGCACATGTGAATTGAGTCGGAAAGTGCTTGACACACTAAGTCATGGACACGCAAAGACGCACACAGTTAATTTCTGGCAGAGTGGGTGTGACTACCCCATATGTAGGATCCAACATTTTTGGTCGTTTCCCAAATAATAATGGGGGGGGGGGGGAATGGGATTTCCTGTCGTAAACTAATTTAGGTCTACATCAGTGGTTCTTAACCTGGGTTCGATCGAAACCCAGGTTTTCGGTGGCGATCAAGACACACGTGTGTTATTCAGGATCGGATTTTCAGATAGATAAATGAAATTTCACATGTAAGTAAAAGATCTAATTCTCTACCTTCTGTTAAATTTTTTGAGTAATTTCCAATTCTTTTTTTCTATGAGATTCTATTCTATTTTTAAAAGTTTAAGTATTTAAAATGGATTAAAAATCATAACTATATCCCCAGTTACCATCCCCTGTTGTTTTATATAAGAATATTCGAGAAAGTTTAGGGGAGATCACTACCGGTTTATTTTTTTTTTAATTATTTTGCTAAATAAAGACAGAAATTATTTGAATTGTTACACCATTTTTATTGAACCTAAAAACAAAACTTGTAGGTTTTGTTCACTGCTACATCGTTTTGTTCGTTCACTGATACAAAACATTTATTTCAAGTTAACATAGTTTGAGTAAACGCTGTGAAAATCATTATCAAATATAGTAATCCATTATCCAATAACAGCACACAAAAAGTAACGTCTTCAAAATCGTAAAAAAAAAATTAAGATTATTTAGATTAAATTACTGATAGATTAATTGTACACATATTAATCTAATTAGGAGAACAGCATGTTAAAATGTTATGTTACCCGATTTTAAAAACAGGCCGACAAACTCAAGGATGACAAGTAAATAAATTATGTTACAAACTAATGCACCATTACAGGTAATTTATCGCTCAATAATGTGTAAAATAAAAGTATAACAAGTCTTTTTAAAAACAATTAGTGGTCATGAATGTGCTAATAAATTCTACACTGCGTATTAGGTAAACATTACCTAAATGTCATGAATGTGCCAATGAACACTAAGACATTTTTTGAAAACATGAGTTAGGGGTCATTAATGTGACAATCAACACTTTGAGACTTCACTGGCAGTCTATAATTTGGAGTCATTATTGTGCCAATCAATACTTTAAGACATTATTAGATAACCTAAGTAAGGAATAATGTATGTGCCAATCAACACTTTAAATCATAATTAGATTACCTAAGAGAGGAATAACGTATGTGCCAATCAACACCATAAGACGTCTTTAGTAAACTGGAGTTAGGGGTCATTTATGTGCCAATCAATACTTTATGACGTCTTTGATAAACTAGAAATAGGGGTCATTTTTGTGCCAATACACACGTTAAGACGTCTTTAGCAAACCTGATTTAGATTTTATTTTTGTGCCAATCAACACTTTTAGACATCTTTGGTAAAATAATATTTCAAATGTTTAGAAAATTTTACATCACTTTTTAAGGGGTGGGTTCAATTTGTAAACACTAACTTTGACCTGTAAGTGCTTTAAAATGTCCTGTGACTAGAACACAATGGTACGCGCTTGAAATATTCTTCATTTTGTAACCATGTTAGTCATTGCACATAAGACATTTGAAGTGACGATCTGAACCACTAGTCGACAAGGTTACAGTGGAGGGGGGTGTTCTATTCAATTATTTTAAAAGGTTTATTACAATCTAAACATATGAAATATTGTTTCAAAGATTGCCTTATCCAAATGAAAATATGTAGGTAAAATGTAATTATTATTGCAAAAACGTAATTGTCAACTAGAGGTTATTTATGTGCCAATCAACACTTCAAGACGTCTTTTATATCCTTAACTAGTGATCATTCATGTGCCAATCAACACTTTAAGACGTCTTTTGTAAACTAGAATTAGGGGTCATTTCTGTGCCAATCCACTACATTAAGACGTGTTTAGTAAACTAGAATTAGTGGTCATTCGTGTGCCAATCTATTATTAGGGGTCATTATTGTACCAATCACATTTTTCGACATCATTACATAAACTAAGTGAGGAATAATGTATGTGCCAAACAACACTTTAAGGCGTGTTTGATAAACAAGAATTACGGATTATGTATGTGCCAGTCAACATTTTATGACATAATTAGATAACCTAACGGAGGGATAATAATGTGCCAATCAACACTTTAAATCATACTTAGATTACCTAAGTGAGGGGTCACTTATGTGCCAATCAACACTATAAGACGTCTATTGTAAACGAGAATTAGGGATAATGTATGTGCCAATCAACACTTTAAGACATAATTAGATAACCTAAGGGAGGGATAATAATGTGCCAATCAACACTTTAAATCATACTTAGATTACCTAAGTGAGGGGTCACTTATGTGCCAATCAACACTTTAAGACGTCTTTTGTAAATATGAATTATGGATAATGTATGTGCCAATCAACAGTTTAAGACAGCTTTGATGAACTAGAATTAGGGATCATTTTGTGCCAATCAACACTTTAAGACGTCTTTAGTAAACTAGAGTTAGGGGTCATTTATGTGCCAATCAACACTTTTAGACGTCTTTCATAAACTAGAATTAGGGATCATTTAATCAATACAAAGACGTCTTTAGTAAACTAGAATTTGGTATCATTTCTGTGCCAATCAACACTTTAAGACGTCTTTTGTAAACAGGAAATTGGGATAATGTATGTGCCAATCCACTACATTAAGACGTGTTTAGTAAACTAGAATTAGGTGTCATTCGTGTGCCAATCTATTATTAGGGGTCATTATTGTACCAATCACATTTTTCGACATCATTACATAAACTAAGTGAGGAATAATGTATGTGCCAAACAACACTTTAAGGCGTGTTTGATAAACAAGAATTACGGATTATGTATGTGCCAATCAACATTTTATGACATAATTAGATAACCTAACGGAGGGATAATAATGTGCCAATCAACACTTTAAATCATACTTAGATTACCTAAGTGAGGGGTCACTTATGTGCCAATCAACACTATAAGACGTCTATTGTAAACGAGAATTAGGGATAATGTATGTGCCAATCAACACTTTAAGACATAATTAGATAACCTAAGGGAGGGATAATAATGTGCCAATCAACACTTTAAATCATACTTAGATTACCTAAGTGAGGGGTCACTTATGTGCCAATCAACACTTTAAGACGTCTTTTGTAAATATGAATTATGGATAATGTATGTGCCAATCAACAGTTTAAGACAGCTTTGATGAACTAGAATTAGGGATCATTTTGTGCCAATCAACACTTTTAGACGTCTTTCATAAACTAGAATTAGGGATCATTTAATCAATACAAAGATGTCTTTAGTAAACTAGAATTTGGTATCATTTCTGTGCCAATCAACACTTTAAGACGTCTTTCGTAAACATGAATTTTGGATATTGTATGTGCCAATCGACCATTTAAGACATGTTTGATAAACTAGAATTAGGGATTATTTTTGTGCCAATCAACACTTTGGAGGTCTTTGATAAAATAGAATTAGGGATCATTTATGTGCCAATCAACACTTTAAGACGTCTTTGATAAACTAGAATTAGGGATCATTTATGTGCCAATCAACACTTTAGACGTCTTTAGTAAACTAGAATTAGGGATCATTTAT